AATTACATCCACGAACAACACAAAACATCTCAACAAACCAGCGAAATACATTGGGAAACAAAGACCACAATGAATTGATCATCAAATGACCAATCAGTAAATAAATGCAACCAAGTCAAATCCACCGGCAAAACACTACACAACTCAACAACATAAAGAAACTCAAAAATGGACAGCAATCCAAAGTATAAGAGGAAATTTGTATATTGATAACAAACAATTGAGAACAAAGACCACAGCAAATCAATCATCAAAATGAAAACTCACTTAGTAAATATAACCAAATTATATCCACGGAAAACACAAGACTACAAGAAAACTATCATTCCCTCACGAGCAACAACTCTCACAAATTGAATCAGAGGAATAAAAGTAATAAATCAAAAGAAAATCACAGTTACCATAAAATGAAAAAATCACAAAATTCTAGGGCATAATTTAAATACTTCCATAATAAAAATTAAAAGGTACATCTATATCTAACAACGCAAGCAAGATCCAAATAAGAATTTGTTGGGGGAAAAAAATGAATCCACTCAAACTGAAACAGACGAAATAAGTCTGCTGTTAATCAATTAAACTACTCGGCGGACAGTAAAACCCAGAAAAATCACAGATAAGATGAATCGATATCCAACAATTGAAGTATGTGAGTCAATATTATTATAAAGAAAGGGGAGGAGGAGAAGAAATGCAAAAGAAAAAAGATAAGGAGGCCTGAAAGTCAATAATGTAATTCCAAGCAATACCCATATAACATCTTTTATAGAAACCAACAGTATAATAGTAATAGATTAAACAAACTGACCTTACTTGCAGACGATTTTTTGGCGTTGTTTCCTTACCTGGATCCATGAATATACCTCAGCCAACGGCAGCAGCGCCATATGAAGTAGGCACTGGGCAGTGGAGAAATTAGGCTTTCAGGCATCCATGAATGAAATTCCTCCACCGGCGGCGTATTCTGAACTAAACGGCGAAGAATTTGGCTTTGGCAATGGAGCGGTGATCTCTTTCTTGACCGTTGGCCATTGCCCCTTAGTTGTATGGAAGTTGTATGAGAACAGTTTGAAAGTCTAAGAAGGAAAAAAAAAAAAAAAAAAAAAAAAAAAAAAAAAAAAAGACCGTTGATTCATGTTTCGAGAATATGTGACAATGACATATCCTTTATTATAATATATCATTATTTGTCTCGTGAATTATTTTGTTATCAAATTACAGACAATTTAGTAAATAAATTTATATTTAGCATACCATATTTCACAATTTTACATTTTGTATATTATATTTTAGTTATTGACACTAAAAAAAACATTTTGCAAGGAAAAAATAAAAATATTAACAACTGTTTCATTATAAATATTAAATAAACCAAAATACCATTAATTGAAATAATAAATTAAAGCCTTTTAAAAAAATTATATAAAACTTAATAACTACTTTATTATTCTTTAATATGATCTGTATTTTCTTTTAATAACAACTTGAAAAAATAGGTAACAAAATTTCATTTAATTTTTATCCAATATTATTAACTGAACAAATTGTAATTATTAGTTGCTATCACCTAATTGGGCCTGTTTGGTAGATAAAATCGAATTTTCAGTAGATTTTAATAAAATTTGATGAAAAGTTATAGATCTCACGAAATATATGATTAAAATTAATTGTTGATTTTGATTTTGATTTTAATTTTCTGCAAAGAAGGTTTAATAAGATATGTTCAAAGAATATTTTTTAAAAAGAAAAAAATAAGTAAATTAATATATGGGTATGAATTATTATTTTCAGCTTAAAATGAATTTCTTTCTGTTTTAAGTTGTGATTATAGCTTTATACATTTTGCAATTTAACAAATTTTGAAGGTGTACATAATCTATTTTAAGAGAAAACAAATCCAAATATTGGTGATAAAATTTACAATTTTGTGTAAAAATAAATTTTAAAATTGTCATGTAAATTCTGTAGGCAACTGTGTCAAAAAAAAATTAAGTAGTGTAATTAAGATACTTGAATTAATATAAATTAATTTAGGAAATAGAGAGAAGTAAGAGATAAATAATAATAATTTTTAGAATGAAATAATCGAAGCAATTCAAAATTTAAAGTAAAACAAAATGACATGTAAAGTGTCAAGTAATTTAATATAAGGTGTGATTTGGTATTTTCAATTAGCAGCATCTTTCTTTGTTTAACTATTTAAAATGACAATTTGCAACCATTCGATTTCCCCTACGAGCTCAAAAGTAAAACCTATTTGAACTATCTATCCGTACTGCCATAATAAAAATCCAAACTCATTTGTCATTTTGGTTAGGCCAATATTATTTTCCTTTGTTTGGCTGCTTATAAACTATCATATCACTTTTTATTTACATATTTTGTAAAATTCATAAGTATTTAGAAGTGAGTGCGGTCTAATTATATCCAACTTTAAAGGGAATCGAATCGAGCCGAATACCAATGAAAATCTTGAAAATGGAACCAATCCATTTCCAACTATAGAACCGAACCGAACCGAAACCGGATCAATCAGTTCCGCTTCGATCCAGTCCCATTCTTTATAATGAAAAATTAAAAAAATAAAGTATGAAACTACTTATCTATTAAAAAAGACAAAAATAGAATATGAAACCGCTTGTTATTCTTTCAATCTAACACAAAAAAAAAAAAAAAAAAAAAATTGAACAAGGCAACAAATAAAAATTCAATTCAAAACTCAAAATCAACTCATAAAAGCGGGAAAAAAAAGGCTAAATTATTAAATAAAGCATAAACGGTAAAATCTAGATTGAAAATTAATTTTTACGAAAATTCATATAGCAATAACATGATTATCTTTAGTAATCCTCAATGATCATGATTCTTGAGGGCCGATCACTTTGGAAACAACAAAAAATTTGAAGTCCTATGAAATATTGAACTAAAAATATATTTTTTCTATTGGGTTGCATGAAAGTTATGAATTTGTAAAGTATTTATAAAATTATTTACACTTGAAATTTTGATTATTCATTAAAGAAAGAGGAAGAAGCATATGGAAAATGAAATTTTAAAATGACATAATTTTGGAGTCAAATATTCGAAGATCTAGTGCATCTTAATACAAGAAAAAAAGGCATTTAGAAGAACCAAATTTACTATTGATTATCAAGGCAGTATTGAGAACCAGACTAGAACCAATCGGCTCCAGATACATTGTCCCAAAATCGACCCATTTGGTTGAGGAATCGAAACCAAACCAATTGGTTCTACTGCACACTGATCGACCACTCATTTCATATAATTATTAGTTCTAACCTTTTATGAACAACTCACAAACATGCAAACTCAACTTTCAATCTCAAAGTTGTAAATTCTGAAAATAGCATTATATTCCTGCAATGAAAACCATCATGATTTCAGTCTAGTTGCCATTCAAACATCAAAAAGTGCGAATCAGGAACAGACCAACCAAAATTCTTTTAGCGGCCAAAAAATGGCTCATAAATGTACACCCACCGTTCAGGGCGGGTTAAATATTACAATATAATAAACTATCAAGTATCAAAATTACCCAAAAATGTATTCATTGAGTCCGTAGTGAAAGGGAAAATAATCCCAAGGATGGCAGGAGAAAGACGACCATCAAACACTGGGCTCGACTCTATTTTTCCTAACCATATGGGAATTTCTAGCTCTCTTTCTACTTTTATCATTGTCGTTACATACTTCTCCTAGCATGAGAATCTACAAGTCGTTACATGGTTTTCACAACTAATCATGATCATCGGATTCATCATTGTTGTCAGTTACTGAATAGTCCAATTCTCCAGCATTTTGAACTTTTTGAGAGGTGGTCTCTCCAGAAAATGTGTCCTTGTCATTTGATTGATCAGCGGCACTCTCATTTTCAGTCTTTACGGGCTTCTCAACTTTTGGCTTTGGCTTGGGAATCCGATTGATTCTTGCAACCTAGACAGATAAACATTAACCATAATAATATAGAAATTACAAATTCAGAAAAATCTAAACTGCAAATTTATAATAGCCGTCGATGAATGTAACAAAGAAAAAATAAATGTAGGAGCAGTACCTTGTCCTGAAGGTCAAAAACTTTTGTATATACTTCATCCGACTTGAATGCTTGGGTACTAAATCTAGAAATCCTGTTTCACGTATTTTAAGCTTGTGTCATGAAATTTGCACTCTTCAATGGCACAAATAAAGGATTTTGAACAGAATATTTCTTTTCATCATAATTGACATATTTGCTACAGAACGGACATTTGATGACAAGATCCACAGTGTGATATTTTTTTAAGTTAAAAGACCTGAAAGGCAAGAATAAAAGGAAAAACTCACTTCTGCTGCTCCGCCTCCTCATTCAACCAATTCTTCACCTTTTCAGCCTCACTTATGACCTGGAAAACCTAAAAAGTTTACACATGCTCCAAGATTTTCATCTCATTAACATTACAAAACAATCTATGTTTCCAACATATTTTTCCACCGAATATAAGGATGATTAATCAGATAAGAAGGTTAGATCACCTCATCTATTCTCTCTCTCGGAAGCCAAGATTTTTCCTTTTCCCATCCTGTAATCTGAAGATATGATGGAGAGAGAAAAAGTCAACAGACTGGTCAGCCGAAAATAAAGGGAGCATTTAGCAAACTTGGGCAAAGTAGACCAAGTTTAATAGAAAAGAAAATCTATAAGATTTGCAGCAATAATATATA